AAGAACATCAAGTTACTCAGGCTTTGGAGTTAACAGACTGTTTGTTAACTTTCGAAAGAGCTCACTTAATTTCTAGTGTATGTACTTTATTTCTTTTTGCGAATTTTATTTTATGCGATTCAAACTTTATAATCTTGATGGTCACTGTCTCCAGCTGACACAATGCGGAGACAATAATTCCGGGCCCATGGATTCTTGTACAAACTTTGACGCCCTTGAATTCCAAAACTGAAATAACACATAGGAACTTTATGCTCGACGTATTTTATCCCTAACTATCTGAATTTCCCAAATAAACCAAAAAAGAGGTCTACTTTTCGCAATAAAAATCTACTATTGATTGCGCCCGTGAAGCAATCACTTCTTAAAAGAGTCTCCTAAGGTGTACATTAATATGTAGTAAATATTATTATTCACATATCATATTTCGAAGCCCCTTTGCAGTTGTTTTGTAGTTCATAGCAAGCGTGTCTACTGTTAGGGATACATCATTCCCGTGAAAGTTTTGTAGACTTAAAGCAAGGTACAATTACGTGCCTACAAGTATAAACTGAAATTCATTTTTAAAAACATTCCAGCAACAATATATGACTTACAAAGTGAAAGATGTACTATGTGGTAGTGATACAAAATGTAGGGTCGGATACAAACGATAAAGATGAAGGAGGTTATTCCACGAGTGTACAGTGCAATACATTGGAAACTGGTTCCTACAGATGAACGCGTGCCACTTTTAGGCGTGACATTTAAAGTCATCACGGATCGATGTTTGTGTTAATATCAAATATTAGTCGCCTTACACATTGGTGTGAATGCTCTACCAGATTTCACTATTACACTCGTACCTGTAAAAGCTGTAGAGTACATTTGTATACATGTAGTCGTTTTAAAAATAGTGTTTCTTTCTGTTGGCAATGTTAATCTTTAAGCATTAAAAGACAATGATACTAGCAAATGCGAAGGTAGTTCTGCACGTGGCATTAAGTATTTAGTGTCAGGCTTACTGAAGGGTTCAACGGGGAGAAAACGTAATCCAGGAAATGTATTTTAAGAAAAGATGTCGTGTCTCCTGAATCTTGGTCTGTCTAACGTTGCGTGGCTGGAGAGGTTTTTCAAGTCTACATTCAGTCGAACATAAATATCTATAGTGTTGTCCCTCTGAACAATTGGGTTTTTCAACTACAGTTGAAAGGACAAAGATTGTATTGTGCCATGGACATGGGCGTCAAAGGGAAAGGGGAAGGGCGAACGCTTGCCTCTTTCTCCCTCTGATAAAAAACATTAAAAGTTAAAAATTTGGAAAGCTAATGAAAAACGGGGGGTACAGAACATTAACAGCATTCTTTGAATAATACCTTGCTATATGCCTTCGTCCGCCGTTTATGGCTAATCAGAGTTTGCTGCTAAGTGATTCTGTGGGATGGAGAGAAAGGGGCACCAGCATCCCTCCCTGTTAAAAAAATCTGAATTAAAAACTCGAAAAAACCCAAAAGAATTAAAGGTACTTAAATAAAAATATACACGGACTTCAAACCATTGAACTGCTTAAAAGAAACCTTGGGATTGACCTCTACCACTAACACCAAGCATGTCCGTCTAAACAAATGCCATACAATGGTTTGGGGCATAACTGTCGCTATGATTTTTTCCTGGGAAAAACGGAGCACCCATCAAATGCGAAGTGACAAATTGTCACGGTAGAGGGGGTCAAGGGGGAAGAATTTCAAGCTCTAATGTTATTGACTGTATTCTCTGTTCATCCTTTCGCTGTCGTGTCTGTCTCCTTTTAAAAGTTTTCTTTCTTTTATTTTCATTTTTTCGGGCCACGTTCCCTTGCAACGACCATAACAACTGCATTGGTGACAAGAATTTTACAAAGATGAAGGTGTTTTTGTTTTTTCGACGTACTTCACGTACATGGAACTTCAGTTTGATTCTCAGTGACTTGCAATTTCCTATTGAAAACCTCCAGTAGCAGCAGTTTTGTATATCTGCGGGCTTATTATTCACTCCACGCCAGGAATTGAACAGAGAGTAATTTGAAGATGACATCGGTTTAAACTGATTCGCCTGACACAGATCTAGCTGCAAAAAGTCCTTTGCTACATGACAAACACAGTACCAGTTTTACCAATTGTGCCCAGGATTGCTTTTGTCTGTGTTTGGATCCACTAAGAGGCGTTCTCGTCGAAAACCTCCCAAGCTTATTTGGGTGGACGTGACTGTGACTTGATTATAATTATTGAAAATAATACCTAGTCAAATAACTATACCCATAGTTACAAATTTTCCTTAAATACTTTCATACGCATCCACCTATAGGGCCGGTGCGTTTGATACAGCCAGGCAGCTCACTAGCATCGTAAATAAGACTCGTTAGGTATTTCTCATACAAAGTTATGTCCATTATGTATTCGTCAGTAATGTTGACAGGGGAACTCATAATTCGATGCCTTCACATGGTTGGTTTTTACGTAAACCCACGCTTAACCTTGGAAACTAGATTCCTATTTTAACAAACCGGGTATTTTTATCATTTATCAATAAACCGTAAGATAATCAGCTAGGATTCCTTTGGCTCAGGCTTATAAAATAAGGAAAATAAATAGATTTAGGGGGTCATTTCATGGAGGTGTACCCCTTTAATTACCCGACAAGGATTTGGACGGGTCCAATTTGTGTAAATTGAATGGGACTTTGTTCCTAAAAAAGTCTTTAGTGCCGTTTCGAATAAAGTCAATGTTTGCTTAAATCGGGTCGTTTTGCATATAGATGGCCCTTAATATTGATAGAAATCTTGATATTGATAGGAAAGTTGTTTGGATGATTGGCGACTCAGCCTTATTCAACAAAGTCGACGAGTTCATACTAACATGATGGAGGCTAAGGTTAAATTTCTCGTCATTCCCACCGTTTTCCTGTCGTTATTCCTTAGTAAGTTAGGCACATGCCAGGAATTCGACCGGTCCAGCAGAATTATTCACACTCCGTTAGGCTCCCTTGTCGGTGTAAATTACCCCGGTGCTGACGGTAACGTGGCATGGACAACGTACAAAGGGATTCCGTTCGCTGAACCTCCTGTAGGACCTCTGCGATTCGCCCAACCCAAGCCAAAAGAACCATGGCAGGATGTGCTGAACGCGACGGAATATGGGCCTGAATGCCCTCAGCCACAGAGGGACTATACGAGTGAAGACTGTCTGACTCTCAACCTCTTCGTTCCGACTGTCAATGTCACAGAGGGTCCACTTGCAGTCATGGTTTGGATCCATGGCGGGGGCTTTGAATCTGGAGCTGGGTCACATTATGACGGTTCCGTCCTTGCCGTTCGTGGGCGTGTCATCGTGGTGACTGTGAATTATCGTCTTGGGGTGTTAGGATTTCTAAGCACCGGTGATGACTCCGCCAAGGGAAACTACGGACTCTGGGACCAGCGACTGGCCATTCAGTGGGTCAAGGAAAATATTGCCTATTTCCAAGGTGATGCAGATAGAATAACAATCTTCGGTGAATCTGCGGGTGGAATCAGCATTGGTATGCAAGTTATATCTCCGGTTAACAACAGGTCTCTGTTTCAAAGAGCCATCTTGGAAAGCGGCACAGCTAAAGCAGTGTTCACGGATTCACATGAAGGAGCAGCATCCCGAACCAAGCAAATGGGCCTTCTCCTACAGTGTAACAACGTCGACGACTCCAGAAAACTGATTGAGTGTCTGCGCGCTGCTACGGCAGAAGACATATTGAAGGCTGCAGAAAAGCTGGTTCTTACGGTTGTTCAGTTATCGCCTTACAATCCAACTATCGACGGGGATTTCCTCCCTGACTACATTCACCACCTGTCTGCTTCAGGGCTCGCTAGTCAGTATGATCTCATTGTGGGCTCAAACAGTGACGAAGGAAGTCTTGCTCTCAATTCGGGAATCATTCCTCCTAACATTGACTCGTCTTTAATGCCTTTTATAATAGCCCTAGCCGTTTCTCCTGTCTGTGACTGCACAAACTACCTCGATTTGACAGAGACAGCGACGTTTTTTTACACGGCAAGCACAGGCCTAGATGATGGCAGGCAAAATGTTCGCACTGTACTTGAAATGAGCGGGGACAGCCTCTTTGTGGCACCGGCAACCGCGACTGCCCGTCACCACTCCCTCCTGTCGGACAAGTACAACCACTCCTCCACCTCCTACATGTATTACTTCACGTATCTCTCAGAAGTTGAAAGCAACCCCTTTCCACCTGATCTAATAGACGGTGCTGGACACGGTTTCGAAATTAACTTTGTGTTCGGGACGTATTTGATCACTCATCCAGGGAGTGTATCTGCGAAGCTCAGTCAATCAATGGTAGCCTTCTGGTCAAACTTTGCCAAGCATGGGTGAGTTCTAGAATATTTCCACTCCACAATTGATTTAGAACCCTCATATTTCAACATTTGTCATTACCGAATCCCAAAATCCACTGTTTTGCGATTTCTTACTTGTTTTTTCAACACCCACAATTATTTACATTGTATTACTTCTAACTTTCAGAAAATCGAGAATATAAGGCAAACAGAATACAATTATGCGTTGTTGAGATGGAGTGTACGGTCAGTCAAAAAGGCTGATGGCCATTCAGTTATGCACTTCTGTATATTACTGAATTCTTTTTGATACACTGCGGGTATGTGTGTATGCTATGGGAACAAGGAAAAAAGCTCTACAGCCGATTTCACGAAACGTTCGATGTCCGTTTGAATTAACCCATTTCTCAAAAACTCAATTTAATCCTTAAAAATTAAGCTTTTTACTCTTCTGGATATATTGAGAGGAAGTAAAAATTGCTCAGAGGATTGGTTACTGTTCATGTCGATGAAATTCCACTCAGACTGGCTGAGGCTAGGGCGAGCTTTCTCTTCCTTTTTTCAACAGTGTCACTGCAAGTTTGTATCGTTCAGTGACTGCTGTCAGAAAATCGTTTGGTCAGACATAATTCTACGGCATGTGCTCAGGTCTTTCTCGGCAATCTTGGTCCTGTTGGGAATTTGGTGGTTACAACTACAAAGGGACCCCGTTTGCCAAGCCGCCGATTCGACCTCTAAACCCAAAATGTCCATAGAAAGATGTACTGAGTGCTAGAGATTTTTGCCTGCAGTCAGGGAATAATACGGACTGCCAGTAGAGACTGATGACTGACTCGAATCTCTTCATTACCGTGGCCACCGCCACCCCTGCGGCTATACGCTCCCTGTCATGGTTTGGATCAATGCCGGTGGCTTCCAGTTGGGAACTGTTTCATGCTGTGACGGTGCTGCTTTCGGTGTTTGTCGGTGTCATTGTGGTGACTGTCAACTATACCGTCTCATCTCAATACTCATCAAACTTTGTGTTAATGAAGTGTTTTATGAACTATCCGGGGAGTCTGCAAGGCTCAGTGAATAAAAGGTAGCTTTCTGGTAAACCTTTGCCAAGAAAGGATTAGTTTTAGAATAATCAGGCTCTTGAATCAATCGTAAACATTCTCATTTTTCCAAAAAAGGAAGAATAAAACCCGCCTTTTTCAGAATTTGTCATTATGCAATCCTAATATTGGCGAACTTGTTGCTGTTTCAAGAGTTTAGTTCAATAGTAAGTAAATTTCCGATTTTAAAATTTTCATCACAAAACCCAGATTTCATTATTTCATCTGTTTACTTTACTTTTAATAATTTTGCATGTTTGACCTCCAAACAAATTTGAAAGTGACCTTAAAGAAGATTCATGCCCAGTCATTGTGTGAAAGAAAATTACTTTTCAATCTACAGATGTCTAGTCTAACTATCAAAAATACAGGTGCTCGGCAGACAGGATACAATTTATGTTTCCCCCAAGTCCTTTATGTAGAGAATCACAAAGTGACGATCAGCCATAAAGGATTGAAGGTACATCAAAGTGGGTTTCCAGGGGAATGATAAATAATACAATAATACACTGGAATAAACTCTTTTCATGGTCAGCCAGCTTGAATGAAATGAAAGAGAGGTTAGTTTTTTGGGGGGAAACTGAGATGAAACATATAGCAACGAAATAAAAATTCAACACACATTCATGCCACTTTACGTTAAGAATAATTCGAAATTCGTAATGTTATATCTGAACGTTTAAGCCACATTTAATAAATAATAAACAAACAAAAACCAATAAATGAAACCGGGGCTTGAAGCCTAAAGTAGTCTGGCACCACCCATAACAGATTAAATTAAGACGGATTCGGGGATTTTAAGATCCAAAATCGCTTCCCCGTGATATACCGTACAATGTATAAGGTCTATTCCCCGATACAGTATAATATATATGTCCTAACAGTACTACTACTATGAGGCGATTAAAACTGTTTCAAGTATGGATTCCTAGAGCTTCTACTTTGTATTCGGCCACATATATAGAGTACCGAAGTGTGACATCATTTTGTACCAGGAAGTGCACAGTGTATACGCGCGTGCCGGTTCACTAGCTGGTTCACCCCTAAATAGCTGTTGCATACAACTGTGTGCGTGACGTATTCACTTCAGTAGTCTAAAGTGCAAAACACTGGAAATACCTAAACACAGGTAGAAAAATCACATCATTCCATTGTCATATCATAAGAACAAACGCTTGATTGAACATGGCAAAATTAACCCCGTTTATGTGAGTAATTAAAAGAAACTTCGTTTTTTCGGTTTCATGAACAAATTAATTTGTAATTTTAAGATATATATCTATGGACCTCAATTACACAGTGGGCGGTACCCCTTGACACGAAGATACCAAAGTTCACTTAGCCTAAATATACAAGAAAATATAAGTGTAGCAAGGAGGAACCAGATTCATATCTCTACAGTTTCCACGACACACTGAAGCCCTTCTGTGCACGTTATTTATGTGTCATCGGCAATCAGTTAATCATTAACAAAATACCATACAAAATAAAAATGCAGTCTGTGACAACTAAGTTTGGATTGATTTCCTCTGCTATGTATTACTAAAAAATGGCAGCCACTGCAAAGGTTTTACCACTTTTAGCCATAATGTTCACTTCATGCTCTTTCAAAATAGTCTTTTGCCAGATTGTTAATCCAGTTGTCAACACAACAGTGGGGAGGATAATGGGCACCAGTTACAGTGGGCCCAATGACACCGTTAGCTTGACAATGTACAAGGGAATACCGTATGCTGAGCCTCCAGTCGGTCCCCTGCGATTCAGCAAACCTAAACCGAAAGAACCATGGCAGGGTGTGCTCAACGCATCGCAGTATGGACCCATCTGCCCGCAGCCTCTCAGAAAGTATAGCGAAAATCTAACTCAAAGTGAAGACTGTCTGACTCTCAATCTCTTTGTTCCTGCGGTCAATTTGTCCAGTGAGGCCGGCCCATTCGCAGTCATGGTTTGGATCCATGGTGGTGGCTTCCAGTTTGGAACTGGGTCACTCACTGACGGGGCTGTTCTCGCCGTTCGAGGGCGTGTCATCGTGGTGACTTTCAACTACCGTCTTGGAGTACTGGGATTTCTCAGCACAGGTGATGATTCTGCTCCAGGAAATTACGGACTCTGGGATCAACGACTGGCAATCCAGTGGGTCAAGGAACATATCGGCAACTTCAGTGGCGATACAGAGAATATAACCATTTTCGGTGAGTCTGCAGGTGCAATTAGCGTTGCTCTGCAGACAGTAACACCAATAAATGACAGACACCTCTTTCAAAGAGCGATTCTGGAGAGTGGGACAGCCAACAACTTATTTACACTTTCTCCAGACGTTGCGACATCACGATCAAGACGTCTTGGAGATATGTTGCGATGTGAAGCAGCTGATCAGACTCAGCTTCTAATAAAGTGCCTACGTTCTGTCTCAATGGAAGAAATAATTGGAGTTTTTTTCGATCTAAAAATATTCGAGTTTTCGCCATTTTATCCTACGATTGATGGTGAGTTCCTGACAGACCTTGTACCTTATCTCCTTGCAACAGGCATTTCTGCTCAGTATGACTACATAGTTGGGATTAACAGTGATGAAGGAACATTGTTTTTGTCACTTGGAGACTTTCCTGAGCTACTAGATCCTTATGAAATGTCATCCCTGATAGGAAAGTTCGTGGGGTCGATCTGCGAGTGCAACAATCAGGGGGAACTAGCAGAAACGGCCACTTTCTTCTATACTGCCGGCACTGACCCGACTGATCATAGAAGAAATCTGGGCATAGTTCTCGATGTAGCCCGAGACGCGCTCTTCCTTGCGCCTGCCAACCAGGTCTCACGCAATCACCACCAATCATCAAACACATTCAACCAGTCCACCAACACCTTCACATATTACTTCACTTATCTGTCTGAGGTTGAAAACAACCCTTTCCCTCCTGGGTTGATAGACGGTGCTGGACACGCTTGGGAGATCGACTTTGTATTTGGGAAGTATTTGGTGACAGATCCAGGAAGTCTGTCGGCTTCGCTGAGTGAATCAGTGATCAAATATTGGTCAAACTTTGCCAAGAGTGGGTGAGTACGGGATGAAGCAGTTTTTGCAGTGACACACAATGTTCATGTATTCTGTTGTATATTCCTACAGACCAAGCAATGAAGTGCACGTTGAAAAGTACAAATAAATCGCAAGAGCATGTGGCCTCATTCCTTGAAAAATTGATGATAGGAGGCCCAGGTGGTAGTTGGTGTCATTCGTTTTTAATGTCATGTTTCCTGAATTGTATTTGATTTCACTTACAAGCATGAAACGTTTTCTTGTTCTTCAGGGATCCAAATGGAGATGGTCTACCTATGTGGCCGGAGTTTAATACAGAAAATGAGACATACATCATCTTGGAGCCAAACATCACTACTGGGCAGTATCTGAAAGCGGACAAGGTGGCATTCTGGAACGACTACCTGCCCGCAAATGTCATACCCTCAGATCCAAATTCCTGCTCATTCAAGGCCCCAGAAAAAGGAGGTACTGTCGACAAAAGTGAGACTAAGACGGTGGAGATTAAAAATGGAGACTATACATTAGGGTATGTGGTTGGTTCCCTGAAAGTCGCTGACAAAGCCATGGGAGGGCAAGAGATTGCTCAGTTCTTAGGCATTCCTTACGCAAAGCCCCCTGTTGGTGATTTACGATTCAAACCACCTAGAGACACAGGGTCTTGGGGCGATGAACCGCTTGGTATCCCTGAGAAACTACCTCCTGCTTGTCCTCAAGATGTCGCAGGAGATCCTTGGATGGTTCGCTTGGGTTTCAACCAAACAAGTGAAAATTGTCTGACTTTAAACATCTACGCTCCCACAACAAGCAAAGATCTACCGGTGGTTGTTTTCGTCCATCCCGGTTTTGGAATCGGAGGTACGTCTTCCATCTATGACGCCATTCTTCTCTCTTCAAAGATAAAAGCAATCGTGGTGGTTATCAACTACCGTCTAGGTGCTCTTGGATTTCTGACCACCGGAGACAAGGTAGCTCCCGGTAATTACGGACTGCACGATGTATTGGCTGCTCTGCAGTGGGTCAACAGGTATATTGGAAGCTTTGGAGGGAACAAGCAACGCATCACCGTGATCGGTTACGGTACTGGAGCAGAACTTTGTCATTTTCTGGTTCTATCTGAGAGGGCAAAGGGTTTGTTCCAGCGAGTGGTGCTGATGAGTTCTACTGCTATCTCTTTTCCTGTTGACAATCAGATCCAGCCCAATGCTATTCAAAAGACAAAAGCCCTTGCTGAGGCCTTGGACTGTCCCACAAGCAACAATGAAAAAATGATCAATTGTCTCCGTGAGAAGCCATCTACAGAGTTTGTTCTTCATACTCAGAATCCCCAATTCGGTCGTGCTTTTCCGGTAGTCGTGGACAACGACATTCTACAAGATTCACCAATGAATTTGCTGAAAGCCGGTAAAGTCAACGACGTCGACCTCATCGTGGGAATGACTTCAGATGAAGATGCTCAACAGTCGTTCCGTTTCCTGCCCTCCAATTTAAGCTACTGCCCAACAACTGATGAAATCAAGCTAATCATACAGCAGGTCAGCTTGCTTTCGTTTTACAACCCTGAGACGGTGTCCGTTGCACTTGCTACAGAGTATCTCGGTAAGGGTGGATTTGATGATATCTGCCAGACAAGGGGAAGTTTCAGACAATTCATGCAGGATTACCTGTCGGTGTGGAGTACGTTAGAGACAGCTAAACTCCATGCTAACACCGGACACTCTGTCTATGTCTACTCCTATGACTATGAGCCCCTAAAACACTACAACAGTCTCTTGCCTGAACAAGCCGGACCATCGTACGCTGATGATCTGCAGTTCCTGTTTGGAGACCCTTACAGCTCCCTTGCAGATGAACTCCAGCTTTCCTACCGGCTTCGAGATAAACAGATGAGCCTGGAAGTAATGATATTGTTTAAAAACTTCATTCACGATGGGTAAGAATTTGAATTATTCCCCTGGTAACTGTTCTGTAAGTTAGCAGATCTTGGCTGTTCACCTTATAACAAAACAGATCGAAACTATTGACATTGCTAATGTCAAACATCTGCCTATTTATAATGGACATGAATGTTATGATTTTATATGCTAAGGTTAATCCAAATTACTTTCTTTCTAACACCAACTAGGTCTGTGTGTTGTCAGTCCCATTTTATAAATGTGCAACTCTACAAAAAAACCCATGAATGTCATATCGTTGCGTTTTTCTAGGGATTATCATATGGCCTAAAGACAATCTAAATTGTCATGTAAAAAGCGTCTTCATGTTAAGAACACATAGTTAATCGCTTCAAAATGTATGAAGAGTGTTATTTGTCATATATTATAGATACAGATAATTTGCCAACACTTCTGAACATTTAGACATAAAACAAAAATTGTCATCCAGAACATGATTTCTTGTCTTCCAGGTATCCTGGAAAATCCCTTTCTGGAGTCGAGTGGTCTGTTTTCGACTCAGACAGCCTCAAGTTTCTGACCCTTGACCCTTGTCCTGACATCCATTCTGGTCTTGACAACGACTGGGACCACACCCTGCGATTCTGGACCGACTTGATGCCGATTGTGACCGTGCCTCCAAAGCCAACAACTCCTGTCGTGACTGCCGCTCCTGAGCCTTGTGTGGTTGGGGAGAACATCGGTCTCAATCTCTCCATAGATGAAGCGTCTACTCTAATCCAAGCCCTGATTGGCCTGAGCGTAGGCCTTCTTTGTATAATCCTGTTCTTCGTGGGTGGCTGTGTAGCATACAGAGCTCGAGCTGTCAAATTAGAGTCAGCTTTTGCGGGGGGAGGCGGGATCCAAAATGTCAAGGGTACTTATGCCATGGGGGAGAAAGGCACAAAAATGGGTACTGATAATTTTGTTGCCACAGAAAACTACTCTGACTCATTAAACGAAGACACCAAAGACCAGTATCACGAAGAGATGGATGATTCAAGTTTTGAGAGCTTTTAAAGAAATAACACAAATATTGGAGTCTAAAAAGTCAGAAGAAAAAGTCAAAACAATTCCAAATTAATTACACAGGGCAATAGGTCAAGTCTGAACAAATTTACAACACTTTGTTCAGTCATTTGTGTTTCTTTGATTGATCATCAATTGTTACACAAAACAGTCATGTCAGCACTACAAAAATCTAATGAAATGTAATTTGAAATCATTTAAGACATTTACACATGTACTGCGTTCTTTTCTCTGATCAAAGTCATCATTATGATGTGTACAGTTATCGTCGTTATTTCATATCAGATTGTTCCTCAAATTTCGCAGGTACTCTATCCAGCTATTAAACGATAACGATATTGTTACTAATGTGTGGTAGTATGGCTTGTTTATAAATTTACCTAGTTTGGTGGGAAAGTAGGGACGTAGGTTTGCGCTTAATACTCTTCCAAGTAATGAGTTATACCGGGGAACTGTATTTATGAATCCCAATCCTCTTACACCAGTCCAGTCTTTATGTGGTATATTAAAACATAATGTTTGTTATGTGCTTAGCGCAAAGTTAAATAAAACGTTGAAATGTAAGGAATTTCAGAAATTAGGGGTATGTCTTATTTTCCTGTCCCCGTCACAGCTGACATCATGATTTTGTAAGTTCTGAACACATTTTCTAATTTCCAAGAGTGGTGAATTAATGCAAATTACCTGCCAACAAGGAGTGATAGTTTGAAATCAATTCCAGTGATATTTCCGTGTCAAATAACAAACGTCAAATGTAACAAGCACACAAAAATGACACACTTTTGGACCTGCATTTCCTGGAATTAATCCATAATGAAGTACAATTTGCGTTTAATGCTTAAATACTGGCTTACTAGACGTCATCACACTTTTTCATTAAAATAACCTATACACCTTTTAACCCACACGACTAAATGTAAACCATACCAAGTGTGGACGCCCTTGGTGACGGTGATGGCATATACATGTATTCCTACTGGTAGCTTCAACCACTTGCAAGTGCACGTGCCAACACTGCATGCTTGACTAGTTTATCTTAATTAAATAGGTAGATTCCCATCACAACATTATGCACTCATTACCATTACCGCACATCATATACGTCCAGCACGATCGGGACATCACATGAGCAATATGACATTTTCGCATGTATTCAAGTCCACTCCTCACTTACTTTAGCAGTAAAATAAAAAATTGGTGCAAAATTAAATTTTTATTTGAAAGTGTTTGAAAATTGCTGGACATAATTTTAGAAATCTTTTTCAATCTTTAAAGAGTAGCTGCGATAAACGTTTTTTATAAATATTTTTTTCTGCATTTTATACCTTTTGAATATACTGTACATATGAAAAACTATTTTAAAAGACCATGTAATAGAAATGTTTTACTACAAACCTGAAATTGCTCATCATGTTTCGATTGACTTAACTTATTTTGCCGTTTTATCTGTATTTTGGGGTCTTTTTTGTTTTATGCATGTAGTTTTCTTGAGCAACCGTGATTTTACCTCAGTGCACTGCACACAAAAAAATTGCTAGATTCTATGCTTCGCTGTCAAAGATTTGAATTTTCTTTGGTAATATGCTGTTGTAGAAGTATAAATGACAACAAACCATTGACATTGAGTCAACCGTTAACCGTTAAGTTATCCAGGAAGACACTACTTTGACACTGCCTACTACTCTTTTGCTTAAATTGTGAACCTAAATATTAATCACTTAAAGAATTATTAAAAATAGTTGATTGTTTGCTCTTTGGTTATACTTACTCAACAAAGAATCACCATAGAAAAAAATGAAGGCTCAAAAAAGTTTACAAATTGGTTGTGTTTTGTTTCGGACCCTGTGTAATTTTGGGGGAAAAATATCATTTTTGGTCTGACAATTTTTTTAGGTTTCAACATCCCACGGTAAAGCCAATTTTCCCATAAAGGACAAAGTTCCCCAGATACACCCCAAGGAATGCTCTCAGTTTCTGTCTGCAACTGGAGAGCAGCATGATCATGCTGGACAACGCTTGACCAAAGGCAGGATCAGATTGGTCAGTCCCTGGTCGTCCTCGTCCTCCCTTTGGAATGATGTCTACCATCCACTTTTTGATTGGCTATCCCCATAATTACTCCACTGTTTTAGCAGTTTGGCCAGTCACAAAGTTTTCAGCAGTAACAGTATGAGCGCGTGATCGGTATTCGGTAGTGCTACTTAATTTAACCCCCTGCATCACCTCGTGTCTTCAGAAGCGAGGTAGACCGAGGTGTGAGTACCATCCTCCAGTGCCCCCTGCACTTTTCGTTGTTCAGTTTGGGAAGAGAGCCGACTCCTTAAATCGACTTCCTGTCGCGCTCCTAACCTCTCGCACCGTCTTGCCACGTGCTCTGTCGATACAAGCAAGCCTATATTTCCTTACTTTTGTATAAATTAGCAAAACGTGTATAATGGCAGCAAAACACCGTTTGAAATTATGACACAAAATTTGAACAAATATAACGATTAACTGAGACAAAAATGTGAAGTTTGAAGGGGTTTTATTCTACTGCAGCGATTAATTACTCTAAGTACTTTATTGGGAAATTTGAGTACAGATTGGTTATAACTACTGAAGGTATTGTCAAGAACCAAACGAAAAGATATGACGTGTAACCAGAAGATTCGATTAAGCATGATCCCATCCAATTTAATTAGTGAAATGTACCCCCCAAAAATATTAAGAATTAATGACTTAAAAAAGATAGAAGTTCCATGTTTGATGTTGCCACATTTACTGCACAGGTAAAATAACAAAAAATATTAAATAAGCGAGGAATTATTGTTCATTAAATGTAAACAATAGTTGAAATCCAATTTGCAAATGCATTTTGAGTTTCATCCAATGATCCTGATCCATATCAGATGCCCACTTCTAATGTGTGTATCACACATTAATGCCACAAATGGCCTCTTTCTCCAACTTTATAAAGGAGTCGAAGACACTCTTTTCGAACAGTGTGAACGGGGAATGACTGGACTGAATCTACCAGGTGCCCCTTGAATTCTTGATTTATTTGTTAACTCATTCCTAAACGGCCTTCTATCTTCGAAATTGCATTACGCATTATTTTACAAGTTCAAAGCAAAGTGAACTTCTCTAATATGACAAGCGACATTACTGATTCACAATCATCCTCTGAACTCATAGTTAAACTTATACTACTTTTAAACTGAACGCACTGTATATACGTGCTGTCCAGTGTTACTGTTGATGTGAGCACATCGTTCTTGGTGCGGTGGCTTATTAGTATTGTTTTCGACCATACGATGGATCTACATCATCATCATCATCTACAATGATTGAGGCTAAGGTTGGTTTTTGCTTTTGTTGTTCTTATAGTGATACCGTGTTTTCTCCCCAAAACCTCGGTCGCTGACATGAAGCAGACTGGCCCAGCACGATCATTCATACTTCGTTAGGCTTCCTGGCCGGTGTCAACCATCTCAGTCCCGACGGTGACTTAGAATTGACAACGTGCAAAGGGATAACGTTCGCTGAGTCGCCTGTAGGAACTTTGATATTCGCCAAACCGAAGCCTAAAGAACCACGGCAAGGTGTGCTGAACGCGACAGCCTACGGATTCGTTTGTCCTCAGCCACTGGATGATTAAGTGGATCCGGTGATATTTACCAAACCCAAAGTGAGGACTGTTTGACTCTGAATATCTTTGTTCCCGCAATGAATGTGTCCACTGAGGCCCTACTATCAGTCATGGTTTGGATTCACGGTGGGGGTTTCGCGTATGAGGACGCTTCAGTTTACGACGGTCCCACCATCCCCGTCCACGGGCATGTCATCGTTGTGAATCTCAACTATCGTCTAGAGGTGCTGGGATTCTTAGCACCGGTGATGACTCCGCTAAGGGAAACTACGGACTCTGGGACCGGCAACTGGCCATCCAGTGGGTCAAGGAAAATATCGTTTATTTTCACGGCGATGCAGATATGATAACAATCTTTGGCGAGTCTGCGGGTGGCATCAGTGTCGGCATGCACGCGATATCTCCGGTTAACGACAGGTCTCTGTTTCAAAGAGTCATCTTGCAAAGTGGTACAGCCAGTACGTTTTTCATGAACTCCCCGCAGGAAGCTGCAACGCGGACCAGACAACTGGGCCGTCTCTTGCAGTGTGAAACGGTAGACGATTCCAGGGAACTAATGGACTGTTTACGCAATACATCGGTGGACGACCTCTTAACAGCTGCAGCTAAACTGAAGCTCGAGGTTGTTCAGTTATCCCCCTGCTATCCAACTCTTGACGGTGAGTTTCTCCCTGACTACCTGTCGTTTCGTACAGTATGAAATGGTAAACTACTCTAGGGAACTTATGGACCGTTTGCAATGGTAGACGACATCTTCACAGCCGCAGCAAAAATGAAGCTTGAACTTGTTCAGTTATCCGCATTCAGAGTTCAGAGTCAAAAGTTCAAGTCACTGTTTGAACGATAGTCTTCCATTGAATTTGATCATGGTCTCATCAGGAGCAAGGTTTTGGCTGGATCTGTAATTACGAAGAAACGAGGGTACTATTGTCTGAACGAATCGGCGGACTTTTGTCAGCTTGTCAGGAGTAGTGTCCATATTTGGAGCTGCTTGGTTGTTGGTCAGATGGAAGAACCTGAGAATTGCCGTGTAGTGAGACATGGTTGTCGGATAGATGGCACTGTGTGTACAATGTCCCAGTTGCTCCAGTACATGTAGTGAGGCCGCTGGTTGATACCCATACAAACCAGTAGTGCTACAAAGGCCATCATTTCTGGAATGGTCATTGGAGACGAACGACTTGGGTAGCCCGGTGATGACTTCTGTGTTATATTCTGCTCAGCATAGCAATTGGTTTCAGTGACCAGTAGCTCCCACACCACTTGCGAGAAAAATAACTGGAAGATATGCACTTGCGTGAAGTCTATTCATTTTTCAGAATGTGTTGCTCCAGTGTGCATGGCCTGTGAGAGAAACAAAGGAGAACCCTTAGTTTGCTTAAAAAAACATGTATGGCATTAGGGTTGTACCTACTGCTGCCTGACAATCCCACCGGATTATTCTGGCTGATCATTAGACACTTATTATGGAAAAAACAGTTTTAAAGAGATAACTGTTTTTAACTATTTGTAAGAAGACGAAATCACCCTTAACTGTAGTTGTTAGGACACCAGTCACCGTACAGGCTGAAATTAAATGTGACTGGTCAACGCGGGATGAATGAGCTACAAGTCATGATTTCGATTTGACAATACTGGAGCATCGCATTCTTAGTCGAAGCATGTAGTCCATGACAAAAAAGTGGTTGGAAGGTATTTCCCAAACTTTCCTTTTCTGCCAACTTTGAAGTTTATGAATCTTCATCCCAAATCAACAATGCAACACTGTCAGAGGAGGATAGCGGCATGAATTGGAGTATGGAACGAAGTGGAAATAGATTAACGTTTGCAGGTAGGCTCCCTGAGGGCGTGACTCTTTCTTGTCATCCGAACCATAATGCTTTGCAAACGTCAAGAAGGTTTATTGCCCCAGTGGCCTATTCCATGCTAGGCAAGCTTACTGATTATTTTTTTTTGGGGGGGGGGATATATTGACATCCATGACCTTAGAAACTAACTATGCATTGCCTCGAGCATTGAAGTGGGAAATTGTAGAAATTAACGACATCTTCATCCGGCTGCATGTTCACCTGTAAATTCGGGTGCTGTCTTCCCGTGTTTCTGCCATGAAGCTCCAGCTTTGCTCCACCCACGCCGATAATCGGGCTTTGCTGCTGCCGAGAAATCATCGTCACAGTCGTCCATACCGCTGGCATCGCTAATTGGAGGACGACATGTCGGAGTTGCTATCGGTGTCACCACTCCGACATTTGGCTATTCACAATTAGGAATGTCAACCCCGGATCCTATTGGCTGCACCGACAATCAAAATAAATAACAAGATCAAACGGTCTTCTGGAATTCCAAGATTCTGTATTCCAATATTTACAACACGAGCTCGATATGGTATTAGAAAGTTAACTTCTTAACAGAATTATTTAATTATTTACAGGTCTGTGATTAAGTCATAAAAACTCAAATGTACTCAACTGGTCAATCAAGTGACTCTGGGATCATCACATCAATCATAAAAAAGAAAGGTTCTATCAGATATCCACTTTAAATTATTAAAATAGCAAAATTAATCAGTGCACCCTCTGTTGAAGTTTCTGTAGCCCCCTGAATCTGGCGTCTAACAAAACCGCAGTAGATCAGCCCAAAGCTCGGTCAAGCAGAGCAAGTTCAGAGTCTATGCTCCTTAGCGGTACACAAGGGACTCTTCTCAGTCATCGGTAGAGTCAGTGGGACCAGTCTCAACATAAGGCCATCTACAATAAATATATAAACCCAAAACCTTAACAGTTTTAAAGAACTAGTGAAATCATGCTCCAATTTGTTTCCTTTCCAACCTCGATCTCCACAATTCCAAATTACCACAAATCTTATATCACTATCCATATTTTCATAAATGTAAATTTCCGGTCTTCTCACAAATCATCAGCCTCGATCTCCAGGATCAGCCTAATAGTCTTACTACTACAATTACGACGAAACTTCATCATCTGCAGGCTTTTACTTCGATGTATAAAAGCAAGAAAATCATCAATATTACAACACTTAACGGTAATTTGCTGAACAACTGTCTTGGGAGGTGAACTGTTGCCATGAAGTCGATAATGTCGACCGGGCATCTATGTGGCTGGAATTAGGCCCTAGTTTGCCTAATTCTCACGGAAACAGATTTTTCCGTCCTTTTCCAAAGTGGTCAAAACAGATCCACAACAAAGCTAAATCTGCTGGCTCAGATTTCTGATGCTAGGGAGTCAAAACTGGTCTTGCATCACACAGTCACTCTCCAAACCTCTGTCTTTCTCGATCAAGTCAAAAATGACTTCTGACTTTCTATATCTCTCTCAGATAAGAAAACTCCAACATGCACCCAAAGATTCTAATTGTGTCCGATTGTAAAATGCGACCTATTCTTCATCGACTAGCGTGATTTGATTCACAATAATACGATGGGCGTTTTGACAATTACCACGACCAGAACAAAATACCGTTGCGTAAGACGGGAAGGCGTTTTCCCACTTCGCGAACGCCTTCTCTGAATGGCAGAGTTACGTCTACGCGGGAATGACAAACAATTGATTGGCCAAAACGTTTGGACGATTCCATTACCTTCGGGATAGACTGATATATACTCAGAATAAAAACAATCAACGGAACACAGTAAAAACATAATAGGAAAAAGACACAATTCTATTTATTCACTGTAACAATCGGCCAACAATTCCTTCAAAATGTCTTTGTTTTCCATTTTTTGGCCACGATTAGTCATTTAGAAGCTGCGTGAAACATTACATGTCAGATGCGTGAAAAAGTGGCGGCGCATCGCGTACCCACGCTAAACTATAATTATACCGCAGCAAGGGATGCCCGCCTGGCGTCGAGCAACCAATCAGAAGTGGGTGTTCAAGTGAGGGCGCCCTTACGCTTTAGACAACCTGCCGATTACTTTTACTACTATCCAACTCTTGACGGTGGGTTTCTCCCTGACTACCTCGACAACCTCACCGGTGTAGGATTCGCGGGTCACAATGATGGGCATGACAAGCGCCGCGGGGAGTCTTGTCTACAGCTAGGGCAATGTCTCTTCCTCTTATCATCTATATATGAATTATCTATACAAGAATAATTTGTCGGGATCCCTAATAAAACACCGATTATTATCGGTCCAAGTGAATCTACCTATGCCCGTTAAATAACTGATTCACTAGTTAATGTTTAATTCATTCCCAAGCGACCTTCTATCCTCAAATACATTACGCACTATTTGCCAAGTTCAAATTCTATGTCAACTTGTCTTATGACACGAGACATTACTGATTCACAATCGCTCCCTGGACCGTAAATATTTTCACAAGTTAATCTTTCAGTTTTTAGCGAACTGAATATAACTGTCTTGTTCAGTGTTGCGCTCCAAATGTGAGTACATGCACAATACGATCGAACATCTACACTGATGAAGACCAAGGTTGGTTTTACCTGCGTTGTTCTAACAGTGTTATTGTGCTTCTTCTCCAAAAACCTCGGCACGTGCCAGGAAACAGACTGGTCAAGCACGATCATTCATACTCCATTAGGATCCCTGGCCGGTGTAAACCATCACGATCCTGACGGCAACTTGAGATTGACAACGAAAAAGGGGATTCCGTTCGCCAAGCCGCCTGTAGGACCTTTGCGACTCTCCAAACCGAAGCCCAAAGAACCATGGCAAGGTGTGCTGAATGCGACGGACTATGGGTTAGTTTGTCCTCAGCCACCAGATTATTCAATGGATGGGGTGGTATTAAACCAAACCCAAAGTGAGGACTGTTTGACTCTGAATATCTTTGTTCCCGCAATGAATGTGTCCACTGAGGCCCTACTACCAGTCATGGTTTGGATTCACGGTGGGGGTTTCGCGTATGAGGACGCGTCAGTTTACGACCTTTCCACCATCGCCGTCCACGGACATGTCATCGTTGTGAATCTCAACTATCGTCTAGGGGTGCTGGGATTTCTCAGCACCGGTGATGACTCTGCTCAGGGAAACTACGGAGTCTGGGACCAGCGACTGGCCATTCAGTGGGTCAAGGAAAATATCGTTTATTTTCACGGCGATGCAGATATGATAACAATCTTTGGCGAGTCTGCGGGTGGCATCAGTGTCGGCATGCACGCGATATCTCCGGTTAACGACAGGTCTCTGTTTCAAAGAGTCATCTTGCAAAGTGGTACAGCCAGTACGTTTTTCATGAACTCCCCGCAGGAAGCTGCAACGCGGACCAGACAACTGGGCCGTCTCTTGCAGTGTGAAACGGTAGACGATTCCAGGGAACTAATGGACTGTTTACGCAATACATCGGTGGACGACCTCTTAACAGCTGCAGCTAAACTGAAGCTCGAGGTTGTTCAGTTATCCCCCTGCTATCCAACTCTTGACGGTGAGTTTCTCCCTGACTACCATCGACATCCTTGCCGATTTGGGACTCACGAGTCAATATGACCTCGTTGTGGGCATGACAAGCGCCGAGGGGAGTCTTGCTTACAGCCAGGGCAGTGTCTTTTCCTCTTTCCAGTTTAATTCGTCTAGAATGTTCTTCGCCATAGATTTAGCCATGAGGCCCATATGTCAGTGCAAAAACCACCTGGAGCTGACAAACGTAGCTCAGTTTTTCTACACTGCAGGCAAGGGTTCCGAGGATTCAGTCCAAAACATGCGAATCGCTATTGACCTTACCGGCGATTCCCTTTTCGTCGCACCCGCAATCAGGACCGCTGGTTATCATTCCAGGCTTTCTTACCAAAACCACACCACAAATACCTACTTGTATTACTTCACATATCTCTCAGAGCTTGAAGAGAACCCATACCCGACCGACTTGGTAGATGGTGTGCCCCATGGTGGAGAACTCGAGTTCCTATTCGGTGATTATATGAAGACTAATCCGGGGAGTCTTTCAGCTCAGTGAATACATGGTGGCCTTCTGGACCAATTTTGCCAAGAGTGAGTGAGTATTCAAATGCTGACACAAATATCACAAGATAAGTTAGTAATGCTCGTTGAAAAATGTAAGGAATACAGTTATCATGTCTACTTTTCGATGACGAGCATTGGTATACACTGAAACAGGAAATCACTAAATCCGTCCTTAGTAAGGGCGTAAATCTGTGTTGGAAATTGGGGGGATTGTGCGGGGGGGGGATGATTTGCCCGGCCATGGAAATTTGAAAGGGGGAGGGGGAGGGGCATATGCACTATATAAGGGGCTATGTTCGTGATAAAGATGTACGCCTGTAATGTGCATTGCATTCATGCCTAGTCTTACATTAGAACTGTAAATTCGTGGCTTTTAACAATTGTTTCTCCTTTTTCTCGATAATGCAAACATTTTAGTCGTTGGGAAATCCAAAAAGATTTTTCACATTCCGCATTAATTTTGTGCTCATTACAAAGGTGCGTGTGTGGGGGGGGGGTGGTTCAGTAGCCCATCCCTCATCTCAAACGTGAGGGATATCTTCCCCAATCCCCGGGATTTACGCCCATGGTCCATAGCCAGTCCATAGGAAACGCAGGTGCTTCTTATTTGATCAGACATAGTTTCACCGAAGTTACCATTGTAAGTGTAAGATTTGTCTATGAATACGACGGAAGAATATCTGGTTGTAGTTATCCCTTCTGTTTTCATAATCGAGGATTTAATTTATCGGTGCATTTTTGTGACTCTGGCCACCTGCTAACCGAAAATACTTATTCACGAGTCAGCCACATATATTTGTTTGTTTAAGGAACCTAAGAATAAAACATGGCAATCATGAGAAATGTTTAGGATTAATTTCATTTAGGATAACGAATGATATAAATTTGTAATTTATTGTATCTACATTTTAAAATCATTATCAAAGACAAAAGAAAGTGAGGCATGGAACACAAAATGGTCCAGCACCCCCATTAGATAGATTCATGGAACATCATCAAAATCAGCTTCCATGTGAATAAGGCCTATACAACACTTAAGGCCTTATTTTATTTATTTGGTTGTATGCATGGCTCTAGATGTGTTATAGCGATCAACTGTTTTAAAGACATCGTTTGAAAAGTGCGTCGAAACTTTAAATTACACGACCCACATTCACTCGCATTATGCAAACACGAAGATGGTTTGAATTCATTAGACGGTGTAAACACTGGGAAATCAAGTGAGGCGCTCTTGCTGGGTGCAAACAACCTTTACCCGACTGACCTGATACCAAACAGTGATTTTCATTGTTGAGAGAGGAACTAATTCGAGAATATCGGGAAATTGCCCACATAGCCTTTAAACCTTGCAGTGAACTTTGTGAATTCATGCTTTGAGGTTGGTGTCTCACGAGACATAAAAAAAAATTTAAAAGATTTATCGATTTGCCGAATACAGCAAAAACATTAAAAATCATAAAAATCATATGAGCACAGGGACTACTGAAGTTTTTTCTTTTCTTTTCAAAATACTCTGCTTCTTTTATGCTATCGTTGTTGCAATTTGATGCTCCTTTCACTCACTTTTGTTTTCAACTTTTCTTCTCTTTCTCTACAGAAATCCAAATCGTCATGGTCTCCCTGAGTGGCCAGAGTTCAATGAAGAAAACGGGACGTATGTTATCTTAGAGCCAAACATCACCACGGGACATCATTTGAAAGCAGACAAGGTGGCATTCTAGGAGGACTACCTCTCCGCAAATGCTGTGCCTTCTGATACAAATACTTGTCCGTTCAATGTCCCCGTTAAGAATGGTATCGCGGACGACAACGGTACGAAGACGGTACAGATCAAAAGCAAAGATGGTTTTCAATTAGGGTCCGTTGTTGGTTCCTTGAAAGTCGCTGATGAGGCAGTGGGAGGGGAGGAGGTTGCTGTGTTCTTGGGCATTCCTTACGCAAAACCGCCAGTTGGTGATTTGCGATTCAGTCCACCTAGAGATAAACCAGTCGGCATCCCAGAAACGCTTCCACCCGCCTGTCCACAAAATGTCACCCTGGATCCTTGGATGGTTCGCTTGGGTTTCAACCAAACAAGTGAAGATTGTCTGACTTTAAACGTCTACGCTCCCACAACAAGCAAAGATCTACCGGTGGTTGTTTTCGTCCATTCCGGTTTTGGAATTGGAGGTACGTCTTCCATCTATGACGCCATTCTTCTCTCTTCAAAGATAAAAGCAATCGTGGTGGTTATCAACTACCGCCTAGGAGCTCTTGGTTTTCTGACCACCGGAGAAAAAATAGCTCCCGGTAATTACGGACTTCACGATGTCCTGGCTGCCCTCCAGTGGGTCAACAGATTTATTGGTAGCTTTGGTGGAAACCCAGGGCACATGACAGCCAGTGGGTACGGTGCAGGAGCAGAACTTGCTCACTTTTTGGTTCTATCTGAGAAGGCAAAAGGTTAATTCCAGCAAGTGGTGCTGATGAGTTCTACTGCTATCTCTCTTCCTGTCGACAATCAGATCCAGCCCAATGCTATTCAAAAGACAAAAGCCCTTGCTGAGGCCTTGGACTGTCCAACTAGCAACAGTGAACAAATGATCAGCTGTCTCCGTGAGAAGCCATCAACAGAGTTTGTTCTTCATACTCAGAATCCCCAATTCGGTCGTGCTTTTCCGGTAATCGTGGACAACGACATTCTACAAGATTCGCCAATGAATTTGCTGAAAGCCGGTAAAGTCAACGACGTCGACCTCATCGTGGGAATGACTTCAGATGAAGATGCTCAACAGTCGTTCCGTTTCCTGCCCTCCAATTTAAGCTGCTGCCCAACAACTGATGAAATCAAGCTAATCATACAACAGGTCAGCTTGATTTCGTTTTACAAGCCGGAGACGGTATCCGTTGCGCTTGCTACAGAGTATCTCAGTAAGGGTGGATTTGATGATATCTGCCAGACAAGGGGGAGTTTCAGACAATTCATGCAGGATTACCTGTCGGTGTGGAGTACGTTGGAGACAGCTAGACTCCATGCTAACACCGAACACTCTGTCTATGTCTACTCCTATGACTATGAGCCCCTAAAACACTACAACAGTCTCTCGCCTGAACAAGCCGGACCATCGTACGCTGATGATCTGCAGTTCCTGTTTGGAGACCCTTACAGCCCTCTTGTGGATGAACTCGAGCTTTCCTACCGGCTTTGAGATAAACAGATGAGCCTGGAAGTAATGACATTTTTGAAAAACTTCATTCATGATGGGTAAGAGTTCCAAATTTATTCTCTGGTAACAGTTCTCTAAAATAGATGATTCTGGCTAGTCATTTCATAAGATAAACGACCAATGCAATTTACATTTTTATGCCAAAATCTGCTTATTTTCTATATTGTATTACGTGTATCAAAGTACAAACAAAAAAGCACATGAATGTAAGCATTGGATATTGGGGCTTATCAAAATTATTTTTTTTTCTGATACTACGTTTGTGTGTCATCGTCCCCTTTAACAAATTTTACAATGTGCATATTGAATGTGCAACACTGAATGTGCACGTCCATAAAAAAGCCATGAATGTTATATCGTGGTGCTCGCAGATAGATATCTAGGGATTATTTTATGACAATAAAATATTCTTTAATAAAAAGCGTCTACATTCAGAATAAATGTCTCTTTAAAAAGCATTAGGGGTGTTTTATTTGTTGACTTATTTTTCAGATATTACAGATACAGACAATTTGCTAATCTCCTAGAACATTTAAGATATAGAGCAACATTGTCATCCACTACAATTTCTTGCTTTCCAGGCATCTTGGAAAATCCCTTTCTGGAGTCGAGTGGTCTGTCTTCGACTCAGACAATCTAAAGTTTCTGACCCTTGACCCTTGTCCTGATACCCATTCTTGTCTTGACAACGGCTGGGACCACACCCTTCGATTCTGGACCGACTTGATGCCAACTGTGGCCGTGCCTGCAAAGCCAACACCTCCAGTTGCGACTATCACCCCTAAGCCTTGTGTTCTTGGCGAGAACATCGGTCTTCATCTCTCCATAGAGGAGAGATTGGGTTAAGCGTTGGCCTTCTTTGTCTGCTGCTGCTTTTTGTGGGTTGGTGCGTGGCATACAGGGCTCGAGCTGTCAAATCCGAGTCGGCTAAGTTTGGAAATAGTGCGTTTAAAATGCAAGGCACTTACCACAATGCATACGAAGATTAAATGTAGGAAGACGTGACTGTAATCTCCATCCCTTTAAAATAATACTAATTAATCAGTGATAGCTTTTGTTATAATACTGAGACCCTTGTCATGTTATTGGAGAACCTTACTTCCCGTGACATTCACTTTTACTACCATTCAAAAAAGGTGCCATTCGCACAGGGTGAATGGGATTTACTATTCAAAGAATTCGTACAGGTGTGTCATAGGCGTGCACACTTATATGACATCCCTGGTGCATCATGGTATTAATAATTTGAAAGAGAGCTTACCAAAACATGAAGACCGTAAGCGTTCATGTTCTAGAACATAATGTTCTATGTGATCTGTTATAATTATTTTGTGATAAATAAAACCCGTACGAATCCAGAAAAATACGAGGCGAAGCCAAGTAAAATGGAAACGTTCTGATTTGACCATGTGGTAATATTCCTCATACTCCGTCCTGAGCCACTCAGTATTTTTGAACCACTGCAGAGAAACATGATGTACATATTTTGTAAATTACTGTTCTCTCATTTCTAGTATTAATTATTTAACTGCTGCTGGAAAAAACCCTCCATTCAGGGCATACAACAGCCCAGCAGTCTCGGTCAAAATAATCCCGCCGTGAAGGGGTTAATGAAACTTATAATTTCAAACCTCCAACATTTCAGATTATCTTAAAGGATTCCTCACAGGAAAGAAGTTTTGCTGTTTGCTTTATCCTTGATATCTTGTAGGCCATCTTGATACATTTCTATTTAATTACCTAGCTACGATTGTAAAAGTAGCTGGAATGCTTTTCGATGTTGGGCTCAATGGTTGTAGGTGAAAAAGCGAAATCAAGCTCTTTAGAGACAGGTGAGTTTGTATTGAAATAGAAAGTAATATACCAGTAATAAAGAAATAAGTAATAAAGAAATATTATATACCTCCATACTAATTTTATAAACTATATCCTGAAATTGTAACGAGTTTATTTTAATTGCCGATTTGTTGTATTTTTTTCTCGGATACAAAAATTATGCAACAGTCTTCTCCACTTATAATGGTATGAAATCTTTTTGGCATCTCTATTTCGTTAGCTGTAATGAAAAAGTGCACTTTTTAAAACATACATAGATTTGTGTGTTTTTCATGACAAAATAAGGGCGCTATTGCTGTAATAATTGTAGTATCAAATGGAAAAAGAATGTGGCACCGGAGAGTATTAACACGCAATGACCCTTTAGACCTTTCCAAAAAGAACTGTTTTTAGGTCATAATATTTATCCGCGTTATGTATTGTCAAGAAGGGATTGCGCACTTTTGCTTTTGTAGCAGTGCTGGTGCTTTGCTTCGTTGGTATCTTTGTTGTCGGGTGTGTGTTTTAAACGGAAGCGACAAAACAAGATAAAAGAAATAAATATGAAATCTAGAAGCATAGTCCTGTTTCGACTCAATTGTTACAGGCTCCTATTATTACTTCTGCGTGAAATAACGACTGGCCGGTTTGATCATGTGGTAAGTGCAAACAAACGTTCGTCAGTTGGCTGTTGAGACGGCAATCGGTTTGTTCAATATCACACCTCTTCTGTATATACGATATGCATAATTTTGAAAATTTATTGCCAAATTTGATAGTAAAGCATCAAACGGGAATGCCTTTGTACCTCTTATTAAGGAAAATACAAATCATCCCCCTCTCATCAGAAGAAATTTGCTTTGGAGAATGAATAGAATCATATATAATTTTGATTCACGCTGACACTTGACGGATGTAACTTATCAAACCTCGGCTGAAGTCAGTTATGTTCTCATTCGTAAAAATTCAAAAATGTTTATTCGATATTCGCCAAAAGGTTCAACTGTTTTTAGGTCAATTTACGCGCTCTATTTAACCTGTCCTTTTATGCATGCAAAGCAGTTCGTCGTTTTTACATTAGGTGGTGCTATTACTTTATAATAAACATAAAATTTTGGTATCGCGTCGACCGAGGTTGACTTCTGTGCAGTTCTAGTTTCGGTTCTTTGTAAAAGGCAATAGTGACGATGCCGCGTCATTTATTTGAAATCCTTCGAATTCTTCGAACTTCTCTTTGAATCAGGCATATAATTATGTTGATAAATGATTCAAGCGGTTTGCTTTCTATGTTACCTCGACAGTATTTCCTGACAGCTTTTCATCGACATGACCGATCTCATGCCTTCAAGCTTCTTCGAGAAATATTTTTTGGCCTATCGTGTTGGAAGGAGGCACGAAAAATCAGTTAAAGAGACTCGGCTATAAACAGGAAGGTTAAAGGTACATCGTCCTGGACTCCGCCATTTGGGCTGTGAAATGCAATAACTAAGATTTGTAATAAACGTTTTCCAAGTAAATTTCGGCAAATGAGCAGCCAATTTAACCTCCGTGCTATTCTATTTCACGCGAAATTGAATGCAGCTGTAAAACGGTCACTCGATTTCGTTATACGACTAGGCAAAAGTACTCTTGCAGTATTCAATTATACTCAAATTAACAATTCAACCAAAAAAGCATTTAATGTCTAAGGTGCTTTTCCGAGACGTGTGTTTGGTCATTTGTTATAATTACTAGGCAGGCATTTCTGTGATTTCTGTTCAACGCACTGTTGAAATTATTCCTTCACTTTCATCTTGACAGCAACCCTTGATCACCACACTTCAAATAATATCACCGATGATTATTCAACCCAAATGCTAAGGATTTTTCAAGCAAGATTTAGAAATATTGTCACCCTTACACAAAAACGCCCTTGACAATAGTGCCTTTAGTTGGACAAAGTTGGCCTTGAGGGCAACCTTTGATTCGAGCCCAGTTCAGGGAAACTTCGTGTCTTAGTCGTTACGTCTTATAATCCCTTTTTACTGTTGTTTTCTTGGCTTTTAGTTTGTTATGTAGTCAACACCTTCAAATGTTCTCCTTGCTCTCCAAGTGATAGTTGACGTCTCATTTGCTGTTTCTCTTGATGGTCCAGCAACGTACTACTTTGGTCAGTCGTCCATTTGGTATGTGTTCATTCTGGTAAGATATACCTACGGTCACACGTAGACTGTTCTTACCATCTAGTGTTTCAACGTTCAAGTCAAAGTTGTCCCAGGCTGTTCCTGAAACAAAAATAGAAAAATCATTTTAATAGAATGTGGGCTTCATGTGGACTTCAAGTTACGTGTAGGAACAATTTACCGAAAATAAATTTTAGTTCCTTTTTTTTATACTTCAAATCAAAGTTTATTGCTATTATAACAGTATTTGGCTATAGATTACCAGTTGCAAGTTTGGAATCGGTGAGCAGTCCCGCCGGCGTCTCCTTCTCTCCAGAAGCACAGGTGTAGGCGATTTCGGAAACGAGCCTTTTGCACTCATTATCGCTCACAGAATGTCCAAGTCTGTTAAGTACTGTTAGAGCACTCTTGCTATAACAGTATGTAGGTATATTGGTGGACTCCCTAACCTTACCACGTAACGAAGACTAACGTCCAACCTGGGCTAGCCAGGTATCCAACTGTTTTAAGAACATGGTAATACAGAATTTATAGTGTGATGTTACCAAATGCGCGACTGAAGTCACATGCACGTTAGTGTAAGAAACTGTAGGAAAATGGGCTGCCCTCTATAGGTATATAACGCCTTTACATACTCATAGCAACAACTTGTAATTTTTAATCGAGATTGCTTGAAGTTCAAACACCTGTATAAAGGTTACAGACAGCACGCTCGTAAATTGACAGATGTGACTTAGTTACTATAAACCATTACGCAAGACAAACGTACAGATTAGATAACATTTGACAATAGGATTAAAGGCTTAAAAGCAAAGTTACTCAGAGCTTCACAGTCAGTAGTGTACATGCTTCTTTGAAAAGCCTTCAACTTCATTCTAATAACCAATTTGCAGATCACTTAGAGATATGTTAATTACTGCTTAGATGCTATAGTTAGTGTTACTTATCTGTTTTAAGATTAAGTGTAATAAAATTCAAACTGCAAGCGGCAAGAGAAATATTATT